CGAAAGCCGTGCTGAGGGCCGCGTTGCTCTATCGATGCACGGCGCACAGGACATCACCTCACCCATACATTGCTGCGGTCCCAGCATGGCTCCCGTACTGCCTTGGATCTCGGCGACCTTGCGAGGTTGCCGGGTTATGTTCTGTAATTGATGCATTGCCGACGAGAAGTTCCCATAAGCGAGTGTGCTGGTTGCTGTGGCTGCAGCTGAACAGTAGGCCGCACTCATGTACCTTCTAGCTGGGTACTGCCTGACTACGCCCATGCAGTGCTCCACGTCCGACTCGAAGATGGACGTGACCGGCCGGTGTCAGAATTTCACCGGAGCCAGTGATTATCCAAGCAGCCCACCGGCGGGACTCCCCGCCCACGGTCCGCGGTTTGCCTAGCGACATAAATTCCCTTTGGTTTCTGAAGACAGTGGCGTCGCTCCCAGGCGCTACCTCTCCTGCAAAGGCAGCCGAAGTGGTGTCTGTGAGGGTACGACCGTCAGCTGGAAGCCATTGGCGCCCATTGGATCTCAGATCACCATTCCGTCTCTCGACAGATCCAGGGGGGTGGCAATGGCCACGGGAGGCCGACTACCTCGCGGCCTGATCGGGGAGGGGTCGGTGGTGGGTGGCAGCGCAGCAGAGGTGGTGTCGGCGTTCGACAGACGCATGGAACCGGGCGAGCTGGTGGGCGTGAAGTTGATCCCCCGCGACAGGGCGCGCGGAGACGAGCACCTGAGGGACGAGGTGCTGCAGCTCAGACGGCTCGTCAACCACAAGCACATCGTGGCCTTTCGCGAGCTGATGGTATCGGAGGACAGCGTTTGCGTGGTGGTGGAATGGGTGCGGGGCGGCAGCCTCCGCGACTACGTGCAGACAGCCGGGTGAGTTCCCAACCGCGCTGCGGCCCTGCGGCATGCCCGCCGCGCGATCCGCCACGCAGCTTTCGACATAGAATTCCCCCTCCGCGTCGCTTGCCACCGATAGGGGCGCGCGCAGACGGCGCGATGCCGCAGCGGGCTCGCGTTCGCAACCCGTGCCTCTGCGCCGCCTGAGTTCTCGACCAAAGCTGGTCGCGCAGCCGCATGCCTGGGCTGGGCATCGCTCCCTCGCACTGTCTGCCGGCCGCGGCAATCGCTTCCGGCAGTGGAGCCTTGCGCTGCCCTCCTGCGCTAGTGCGTGGGCGCGCGTTGGGCCGCTGCTGCCGTCTACTCCCCCCCTGGGCCCCGATCCCCTGCCCCCTTTGTCTCGGCACGTTTACGTACCCCACAGCAATGGCCAAGTTCCTTGGCCACCTGCCTGACAGCTGCCGACCATGCCGTGGCCCATGCATGCTGTACCCTCAGCACTGTCTAAAGCACTAGGATGCCAAACTCCCGCGCAGTTGTGTCACACATCATCACCAGGCACCCCACACAGCTGCACAGCAGGAGTGACTACGGGCCGTTGTCCCTGGCACGTGCCCCCCCAAGAGCAGGGCATCTCGGACTGTACGGCGCGACACCCAGCGGCCGTTTTCAGTCAATCGTACGTCTGCTGTAGTACTTGTACAACGTTTGACAGTCCTTGGTAGCCAGTGCTCGCAAAGGCGCCCCCACCCATGCTCTGTCAGGTCTGACAGAACGGGCCCCTGTATCGTCAGTTCAAACGCGTGCATGGATCTGGACTGAGCAATGGCCTGCGATCTCCATCGACTGGGTCGCGCCAGCGGCAGATCCCGCACGTCGTTGCATCATTCAGTGTTGCTGTCAAACCGTGGTTGTGCGCCTGTCGGGGCAATGGCGTTCACGGCTTCGAAGATGCTGCGTTCCCATTGGTCCGGCAGTGAGATGCTGAGCCAATCTCTGCATGTATATGAACATGAACATAAACATCAATGTGAATGTGTGGATGACCTTCATGTTTCAGTCTCGAGAAAGCCAATCCTGTTGCTTCCCAGCCATGCAGACGAAAGCCACACGCCATCTCTCCTGTGCACTGCGATTGTGCTGTGTTCAGCGTCGCCAACGCTAAGGGAAGTGACTGTTAGTTCTTAGGCACGCAACGTTCTACCACGTTGTCTTGTCTGAGACTTCTTCTAGTGGCTGTTGGCGGGTCCCTCGCGGTCTGAGGATGATCTTTCGACACTTGCGCAACTCACGCTCGCAGCGGAAGGTACTGGTCGCCTGTGCCATGTGTCGTATGCTCGGTGGCCTGCTTTAGCCGGTGGGTGTAGGGGTGGATATCGTAGCGGGATTGGGGCATCCGGCTCAAGGAGAACAGGGAAACGACTTTGTGTGGTTCAGCTCTACCTACCTATAGGGCGCATGGCTCATTTCGCATTGCGCTTTGGGCCAGCTTTTTCGGTTGCGCAATTCTCTGGCGTCCCGACGAGATTCCCATGACAGCCCAGTGCCTGACGGTTTCGCGCTCGTTGCAGGTGCTTGCAGGAGAACCTGGCGCGCTGGTTCATGCAGCAGCTCATCGTGGCCTTAGACTACTCCCACAAGCTGGGGATGTGCGACCGCGACCTGAGGCTGGGCCACCTCCTCCTGGAGGACGAGAAGGCGCTGTTTCCGGTCGTCAGGCTGATGAACTTTGGCGCCCGCGAGGGCGCCAACGGAGACAACACACCCGGCGCCGCCGGGGCCGGGTCGGCCACGCCGCCGGAGGTCGTGCACTCGCTGCGATGCGGCGCTGGGCCCCACCACGACGGATTCCAGGCGGACGTCTGGCGCGCGGCCTGCTGCCTGTATCGAATGCTCTTCGGGGTCGACGCAGCCATTGGCCTCTCTCCGGAGTGGCGAGCAGATAGCCCTCCAGACGACTCGCCGGTGAACGTAGTCCTGGCGCAGGCCCGCCGCCTCAGCGACGGCCAGCTGCTGCCCCCCGTTTCCGACGACTGCATGGACTTCCTGAGCAAGATGCTGCAGGTCCGCCCCGGCGCCCGGATGACCATGGAGCAGGTCTGGCAGCACCCGTGGTTCCAGACGGACTTGCCGGCGACCGCCAGGCAGTACAACGACCTGCTGATGGCCGACGTGGAGGGGCTGGAGGGCCGTCTAGAGAGGATCCAGACAGACCAGGAGCTGGTGGACGTCTTGATGATTGTGTGAGGACGCGTGGACGCCCTTCACGGGGGCGCCGCCCTGGAATTGCCATTGGAATACACATTTGAAGCATTGAAATATACATCGGAATTGCCATTTGAAGAGAACCTGGGTGATAAGAATGCGTGTTGGCCGTTCGATTGGTCGAGAGGGGCCGGGACGCGTCCAGTGCCCAATGACACCGGCGGCTACTAATCCGAACATGTGAGCGTAGTGTTTGATTGTTGGGGAATTGAGGATTTGGGTAAGGGGATAGACTGCAGTGCGGGATTCCACACTGCGGGATAAGGGGAGTGGGCGGAGTATTTGATTCTAGATCCCTTGTGGTGCTGCATGGAGGTCCCACCCGTCTGGGAATGCCGTGCAGAGACCCCAGGAGCAGAGTAGTAGAGACCCAACAAGTTACAATGCCCTGCAAGGAGGCTGACCATATGACGGGGACTTCACATTCCGTAGTTTTGACGAGGGAAATAGGGCAGCGAAAGGCTGGGAATGCGCACACTCGGCCAAATATACAGAGAGCAAGAACAAGTTCATTTCATTGTCGTTGTAATTTGGTTGGCTTGCATTTGCCGCAGCGGCGATGCTTGCACTGATCGTTGTTGCTGACTCCTCCCACGCATGCAGCAGTGTTTCCCGCACACACTGCAATGTCGCTGTTGCAAGACGGGTGCACATGTCCCTGTCCTTTGCTCCAGTGGAGACTGATCGATGCCAGCACTAACCACAGTTCCATTGCCACATATTGCACTCTCGCGCCAAAGGCAGTCGGTGCACACAAAAAACTGCGCTTACGGGCACGTGATTCAGTGCCGTGCATGCGGCACACACACCCTGGCCGCTTGCACATGCAGCAGCCGCTCATCAGCAGTCGCACTCTGCACCCCACAGAGAGGCCTCGAGAAGCAAGGGCCTCACGGCTGTGTCCCAAACGGCAAATCAAATCAGCAGAACAGCCGTCACGTCAACCCACAGGTCACGGCTTCCATCCCTCCACACAGCATCCCACTGGCGGTCACTCGCACCCTGACCACAGGTCTGCTGGCTAACCCAATGTCCAGGGCCGACTGTTCGTTCAGCAGGGCGGCCACCGTACGGCATGCCACACAGCCTCCAGCGGCGACTGCATGCACGGACACACTTCGCTCAGAGCGCAACACTCTGGCACAGGCGGTCAACCACATCACCCACTTCCCTCGCAGCACGGACTTGTGCCGTGCCAGAGCATGCGCCAGCCAATGCACCTGCAGACGCTGGAGCGCCGTGCCACAATGCAGATGACGTGCCCATGCCCCCTCTTGCCATGAGTGGCTAGGGCCGTCATGCCAAAAGCCTAGTGTGGTCTCCCAACTTCCAACAATGCACAGACCTCCTGAGACCACCCCAGCTGGCAGTTGACTCCCCCGTGTGTAGGCCGCTGCACCACACATATAACCCCCCACAGCATATCACATTTGTTCCGTTTCTGTGTTAGCCGTACTTCCACATCAACAAACAACACGACAATCCCCTGGCCCTACAAAAACGCGCCACATCCCAGGCAAAAAAACAGCCCACCAAACGGAAAACAAAATAAATAAAATCATGTGGAATGTTAACACATGCTTCTGGATGCAACAATGCCCCTACACACACATCCTTACCCTACATGCCCACAAAGAAACCTGCGCTGACTACGACTGGACTTTTGAACCGCACCTAATCCAGATCGCTGCTCGATTAAACACGCTGGTTCACTGCTTCTGGACATTGAGATGCAGATGCAGAGCTCACATAATAGCCGGTGGCACAGACAACCCAAGAATCCAAGTATATCCCAATTGCTGCTCTCGTTGGTGCCTGGCGTGACGGCCCCTGTACATTCCTGGAAAATCTGACAGATGGTCCAAAACACAACAATGGCAGCTAAAGAAACGGCACCCTCACATGGCCGCCAGGTGGGACAAGATTGGGGGCGAGTCACGAGGCCGTCGCACGGGAATGCAAGGGCCAAGGGACCGCCGAATTGCACTTTGAGGGTCAAAAATCTGTGACTGTGCGCTGTCATTGTTTTGGGCTGTCGCCTTTCGCCTCATCGCCACCTTTGCCACCAGCGTCTTCCAGAAACCCCGATCCCTGCTGCTGCTCGCACAAGGAGACGAGTACCTGCTGGCCAGCGTCTTGGCTTGTGGCCTGGAGCATGACTGAGGCTCAACGGGCACAGACGCCGACCTTGCCAGGCGTTCTGCGTTGTCCAAGCCAGCCACATCGTTAGGCGACAGTTTCGACCTATGCCAGCGTATCTCCTTCATGGAGGGACGCCTACCACTATTCATCGACTTTGCCGACAGCCGGTCTGAAGAGCTGACACTCTGCAGAACTGATGCATACTTGTGGATCGGCGAGTCGCTGCCATCTGGGGCGTCCTGCATGCCCCCTTGTGCTGCCACCCGCAGGTTGTGCACCCTCAAGGCCTCCAGGGCCCCTGAGCTCCTGAAACGCTGGCCACCACGGCGCTTGCCATGTCCATGCCTGCGGCCACCTACCGGCAGGCACATCATGTGTCTCTTGGCCTGCAGCACAGCCTCGCTCTGCACTTCCCCACTCTTCCTGCTGGCCAAAACGTCCCTTGGCTTGATCTCCTGCTGCGACCACTGGCAAGCGGCCTCTGTGTTCGACTCGTCCTGCTGGGCCCAGACAGAAGCTGACCATGACCGCCTTCGAGTCAATCCACCGATCATGCCCGCCACGCTCTGCATGGAACTCCGGAGCGCCTGTCTTGCATGCTCTTGAAGTGCTTGGCTGTACATACTCGATCTCGACGCCAATTTCCCCGTGGGACGTGGGCATCCTCCCGACTTTGAAAGGAGGGGTTTGCGTTTTGATTTCCCAGCATCTGATGCACCCGTTGTAGAATCTCCAATATGCGACGCCATCTGGGCACAGGCCCCTGTGGGACCCCTCTCTGCACCCCCAACTTCAGGCACGCAGGCAGTGTTGTGCACCACCTCAGCAACTGGAGCCGTTTCTGCCACCGCGCCAGCCCCAGATGCAGGATGCAAGGGCAGGGCGCTGCCACTGCTGCTGCTTCTTGGGTCGAAGGCCTTCCGCTCCCTGCCTGGACCACCTGCTACAGCAGCCGCCTTATTGACATCGATGCGGGGAGTCAAGGTCCTCAATGCATCCGCCTTTACAGCACTGCTGTCCTCACACAGATCACTCAGAACCAGGCACGGCTCCGATGCGCACTGCTTCCTCATCAGCGAGTGAACACGAACACCCTTGGGAGAGTCCCCGCTGGACACCAGTCTGGCAATCAGACCAGATTCCCCAACTGTATCTTCCAGTGCCCATGGCCTAGCACACATACGCTGCTCTACTTCGCTGCTGCGACCCCTCACTCCCAGATTGTCCGACTGCCCCCTATCTCCCATGCAATCTAAATCCTCTGTTTCTTCAGAGACAAATGAATCTTTGGCTAACTCCTGCACACACAATACCTCTGGCTGCGCCGTCTCAGCAGACATATATGGCTCCGATGCACTCATGGCAAGATTGGAATCTGAAAAGGTCCCCTCAAAGCTTGCTGTCATCTCTGAGGACGTCCCGGTCGCCAGTATAGGTGACAGCAGGCCAGAAAGCTTTCTCTCCAGTGGCCCCAGCGCCCTGGCCTTGGTCACCTCCTCCTGTAGCAACAGCTTGAAGATGTCCGCTTCTGCTGATGTGAGCTCGAAGTCTGTCTCCATCTCCCCTGCCACAGCTTCCACAGTATCCAAAAGGACATCAAAAGGAAAGGCGAAGCACTGCACAGCCCCTGTGCAAGAACCACACAACTCCTTGTTGACACCATAGGCTGTTGCTCAGATTCACAGTGCCAGCAGGGGAGCACATGTCCCCATCGCCTGCTCTTGTCAAACTGTGACAAATCACTGCTGCAAGTGATGTGGGATGCAGTTAAAAGCACACATGGCTGGCCCCTGATGAGCTTGTTCCTGTTTCCAAACAAGTCCCAAGGAACGTCCAGTTTGCCAAAGAAAAGAGCACAAGTCATCATCAAATACAAAGGAGGAAAAAGTGTAGCTGGGGGGAGGCCCGCAGACTTCACAATAGCACACTGTGCTTGCAGCACCTCCCTCACCTTCTGCTGCCTTGATGCCCAGTTTGAACTTTAGTACCCTTCCTTGAGCCTCAGTGACACGCAGGCTGAATGTCCTGGCACCTGGGAGTGCAATCACAGCAGGGCACACCATGGAAGGCCCACTGAAGCTCTGGCCAAGGCGTGTCCCCATGCCCTGTGCACGAAGACTGTCAAAGAAGGGGTTCTTGAGCAGCTCCCTCGCTGATGGCCTGTACCTGTGATCATGAGAAATGCAGAGTTCAATGAAGTCACGAACTTCAGTTTCCTCGATTCGTGCCAGCGCAGCTGGGTAGACACCCTGAGCAAACACACCAAACACCTCCTCAACAAAATTCAAAGCCAGTGCAGAGTTCTGTCTCCACAGGCCACAGCACCTAACGTCCAAAACCATGTGGGCTTGGTTACAGCTTTAGGAAAGATTTGCTGGAAGGGCGGTTTGTCAAGACAAGGCATGCAGTATCCCTGTACCCTACAGATGATGCTGAGTATCCGGGCCAGATGTGCACAGGCTGGTGGTCAGGAGTGCAGAGAGTCTGCCCCAGATCACATCACTGCTTATGCACCTAGTCCATCTCAGTGAAAGTGCTGACAACACATTCGGAGTTCACAGAAATGTGTGATGACATTCTCGCTGGCAACTCTACTCTGTAGAAGTTGTTGATCAACAACAACCTGAATGCAATGGAAACCCACCAAAGTGACCTTCCTGAAGATCTGGCATCTGTTGTCGCACTCCATGTAAGGAAACTCCATTGTCACAAGCTCCATCAGGCACATTCCATAGGCATAGATGTCAATCTTCTCATTATACCGCTCATCATAGAGCTCAGGTGCCATGTATTCAGGAGTACCTTTCACCACACACATTGCCATCAACATTGCCTTTTAACAGCACGGTGAATGCATCAAGAGCTGAACACCACTGACTGTTGTTCCAAGGTGGACAAGCACACTCCTACCATTCTTCATAACACGGTGTGACCCACCTCATGGATTACTTCCTGATTACAAACAAAAAGACTGAGCAGAACAATGTGTGCCCTACACAGGGACACATGTGCTGATAATAAATATGTCAGCAAAGTTCAAAAACACAGAACATCCTTCAGCTTTTGTACACACGTACTGTGCAAAAGCATTCACAGATGATGGGACTGAATATCGTCACTTACCAAGAACACTTTGAGCCTTAGAAAGGCCAGCAGTCAGGAGTTTGGCCATTCCCAAGTCACCGATCTTCACTTCACCAGTCACACCATGGATGAAGATGTTGTCACATTTCAAGTCCCTGTGGACAATGGGCGGATCGTGACCATGGAGATAAACCAGACCCTGAAGGATCTGCCAGGCCCAACGCTTCAGTACCTGCAATGTCACGCATTTGTGCAGCATGCGATGCCTGCAAAGCACAACAGCCAGTCTCAGTCATCCCATCCTCAACAGGGCGCTCAACAGGCCTGTCCATTCCAAAGTGCTCCTGCATCAGATCCGCCTGATAACCCCACCCTGTGTTGCTGTTTGTTGATCTGAACTTCATAGAGACATGTGCCATGACCAGAGTGTTGCGGTTGGGCACTGGAGACATTGATTCATTCAATCATCTCATGATGCGGGTCTGGATCGTTGCGATTGGAGTATTAGTGAAAGAGAAGTGAGGCCAACACACACTTACACCAGGCAGGAAAACCAGCAGGTGTCCATCCTTGGCAGTCCATCCAACGCCAACGGGGTGGCAGTCTTATCAATATGACAACAGAACAATAAAAATCTCAAAAGCATGGTGCAGAGGCACCCATGGCAATGGACGGCTACTTGTGCTCACGCAGCTACCTTCTCAAAGTGCCAGAGTGGAAGTACTCCGTGATGAAGTTCAGGGTGCGCTGCCGGTTGTCCAGCCAGGAAGTGTAGAACTTCATGATGTTCCTGTGCTTGAGCTTCCTGAGGACGGATATCTCCGAGAAAAGGCGCGTCTTGGCCACCTGCTTCACGGTGTCGGGCAGCTTGACCTGGTTCCACGCCACCTCTATGCCCTGCTCCCTGTCAAAGCCTTTGTACACCGTCTTCGTGCACCCCTTCCCCAAGATGGCGTCGAACTGCAGAGCACAGACCACCATGAGACCCCCGACGCTCAGGACACGCGGGCACAGAGTGCGCGGTGAGCTGCGCCGAAAGGCCGCCCATGCCAGGGTGCCAGATCCCTCGCGGGCTAAACTTTCGGGTCTTCAGGTTGCGCCCGGCACGGTTGTCCATGGACCCCTATCGCCTTTTCGGCGATGACTGGCTGGGCGCCAAACTTCAGTTCCCTCTCGGCCAACCAAAGCGTCGCTCGCCCGGCGCCGAGCTCCACGGTGGCACGCCGGGGGACAAGTTGGAGATCGGGCGACGCACTTGCGGCAAGATGTGCAAGATTCGCTGGAACTGCGGGCGTCCGGCGTCGCGCGTCCCAACGTCGGCGATCCGCGATTCCCTCCAGCTTTCGGCGGAGACCGAGGCGAGATGCACCCGCCCAGCGGGCATCGGGAAGGCCACAACCGCGTGCGGCCACGCCCGGCGACCCGACCCCACCTCCCGACTCCTACAACCGGTCTGACAGCGATGGCCGGGCGGACCCGATCCAAGAAACCGCCCAACCACCCCTCACAACGCCCCGCCAAGCGCAAAGATGCGCAACGCCCGCCCGCGATCTGCCCCCTCCGCGCGCGCAGGGCATTCCCTTCACCCTAACTCACCCTCAAGAATCGCCCCGTCGGGTCCACCTCCGCCGCCTGCTCCCCGCCGTCGGCGTCCTCCCCCCTGGCCGTCGGGTCCTCCTCCCCCTGTGCCGCCATGTCGCCCCGTGGCCCGCCTGCTCCGCCTGCGCCTCCTAGCTACGCCTCCCAGCCCGGTGCCTCCCCCTGCCTCCCTCCGCCTCCCACAACCCTCTCCCCCGGGGAGTGCACCTACTCCTAGGCCCGCCACCCCGGGACCTCTATGGGCGCGTGACTAAGGGCTACAGGCCCCTACGCCCGCCCAGGGCGCGACCGCCCCGCCGCAGCCACCTCCCCGCCGCAGCGCGGCTCCCCAAAACCACCAGCGGCGCAGCGGCGTGCTTTCCTTCACCCCCTCCCGCCAATGTGCACATCAGTCCTCCGGGCCTCCTTCCTCTGCGCGCGGCCGAACAAATCCTCGGTCAGGCCCTCTTCACCGAGTCCGACCGCACCCGCAGCAGGCTGCCTCCGGCACAAGCAGAGCCCCACGTTGGCCCGCTCTCCCTTCCGAACTGCTTCACCAGATCGTGGGCGCTCCCGAAAGGCCGCTCGGCCTCGCTGTGCTGGGATCCGGCAGGATATATCCGACAGGGCCACGCCCTTTTGCGCCCCACCGGATGGGGGGCGAAGGGCGCGGAGGCCGGTGCCCGGCTTGGGTGGTCTCAAACCTCGGGCGGGCGGTTGAGGGGTGCGGCCAGCCGGTGCCGTGCCGCTGCGCGCGCCCGCGCCTGATGTGGGCTGGCGTGAGTGGGCGGGGGGCGCGCCGGCATCGCGTTAGCAGGCGTGGAGGTGCGGGCGGAGGGCGGGGATTGGTGCACGTGGACTTGTCTGGCCGTCGGTCCAGGAAGGACAGTACGACAGCCGCGCAACGGGCCCGTCGTGCGGTGGCGGTGGCGCCCGCCAATCAATCAATCAGTCAATCTAGAGACGTTACACTGCGAGTCGAGGAGGCCGCCGCTGACACGGAATGTTCGGGGTGCGACTGTGCTCCCTCGACTACGTCTCCAAATCCAATGGCTGTGCCTGCCTCCAACATTGTTGCAGAGCAATCACTGACAGGCACGTCCATAATAGAGCTCGGCGCAGGCCACCCGCTACCGTCCGTTAATTACCGTACTGTTAAATATAATGACCAACATTAAAGCGTAATGCGCCTTGATAACTAACGTGGCATATGATTGGAATGGGATTAGATTAAGAAGCCAAGGTATAGACAAAAAGAAATGGATCAATAGTTGGGCACAACGGAGAAAAGGTGAAATGGTTGTCAATTCTGGTGAGTGGGTTGCCGAAGTCGTCATTGAGGGTTGTCATACGTCTAGGCATGATGGTCAAACATTTGGTAAACAACAATTGCCCAGAAAGTGTTGATGTAAAGTTCCGTTGTATAGTGTGCAAAGGAGGTTTACACAAGGGAAGACAAGACATCCAAGCTATGGAAGGACAAGTCTGGCTTGAAAGTCCAACAAAAGAGAGGTGCAAAGGTTGGTACCGGTACATGGTACTACCCTTCAGGGTATGCGCAACAGAAGGAGACAAGCGCAAGCCACAATTCGGGGATGGTAAATCACACACAAGGACAATGTTCCCTTCACATGAATGCTAAGCTTCCTTCCCGAAGGAAACCCCTCTCGCCCGGCCCCCAGGTCCCACCCTCAACGCGCGAGGTGGCTTGCTCGGTACACCGGTCGCAAGGCCAAAAATTCTTACATATCGGGGGCGGCTACTGTTACGCATATAAGCCTAATATGGGGGACTGATACAACATGGTGTTACAATTCCTGGAACAAGGCTAATGCAAGACACAATGAATTCCATAAGAATGGAGTGTGTCTCTGACCGTCTGACTGACCGGGGATGAAGCTAAAAGCACACTGGTTATGCAGTCAACAAAATGCACCGAAACGACAAGCTGTTGGGGTGCCAATTTATGGCAATTCGCGGCCAGTTCATCAAACCATTAAACGGTTTTGATTACGTGGATAATTGGGCGCTACATCCGGCGGGCAGTCAGCTGCCTGCGCTGTGTTGCCCCTCCTGCGCGCTAGAGGTGGCCACCCGGATCCACTAATAGCGGACAGAGGTTAATTTCCGTTAATTTTCCGTTAATTAACGGAAAATAACGAAAAAAGACAAAAATTAACCAAAAATTAGCGGATTTTTGGATTTTTTGGGGATTTTTGGGTTTTAGTCACACTTATAGTTTATGGAATTCGCTATTAGAGAGTATGTTTGTATTTTATTTCAACCTATGCATACTAGATTTTCAACTAGCCGCAGTTGTTGTGATTTTTTGGGTTTTTTTCGATTTTTTTGATTTTTTTCGTTTTTTCTGAATTTTTCTCCCTTTTTCTTTAACGAAATTTAACGGACAGCTGATAAAAATTAACGAACCGGATTTAACGGACCGGATGGCACCTTTGAGTGGCCACCTCTACTGCGCGCGCAACCTGGCTGGGTGGACGCGGACGGTCTCCGAGAACTCACAAGTGGGCGCGCAAGCCAACGACCGTGAGCGACAGCTATGGCCTATTGTGGCGACTTGATTGGGTGGACTCCGGAGGGCGATGCAGTCCTCACTGAAGAAGCGGGAGCGAAGGGGCCTCACACACAACTCGGTGGTGCCATCCCCATTGTAAGGGGCGTGGAGCCTTGACGGCAACTCCAACACCCGTTGGTCCAAACTCGGACCCAAGGAACGGGAAAACTCACGATTACAAACTGGGCGGAGGACACCCGTATTTATAGGTGCCCGCCCGGGAATCCCAAGGGTCATGCCAGAAATTGGTGAGTCATCCCCAATTCTGGCATATCCGCCAACTTGTGTTCGAATGTTTGTATCCCGTCCGCATTGTCATTGGTCCCAAGGTTCCCACAGCGCTTAAGCCTTTATGCAAACGTTCCCAAACTCATCAAGCGCAGCTCCCACCTGACCCAAAAGCTACCGTGTGTTACCAACATGGGGTTTGATACCCATCTACTAGTAATCCTTTTAAAACGCTGATTGTTGCCCTCACATCCCTCCGGGCCTGTTACGAGGCGTCCTCGGCTCATGTTGTCATCCCGTAGTCGCTCGCTCTTCGAATTCTTGCACAAGTTGTCGAGCCCTTGCCAGGTTCGCCAGCGGTTCCCAGGTGTTTTCGTAGTTGTCGTATCCCTTCCACTTGACGAGATACTCTGTTCGGTTGGCCCGCCCAATTCTTCGGACCCGCTTGTCGATGATTCGCTCGACTTCAAACTCTGCTTGTCCGTCCACCATCATGGGGGGAGGTTGGACACGTTCAGGACGTGCAAACTGCCCATGATCATCATGATATGGCCGCAACTTGGACACGTGGAAAACTGGATGAATATTCAATGAAGGAGGCAGCTGATGCAGGGAGCTTCGTTGCTCCCGCGGGCGCACAGGTCGGATGAAACGGGGAGTCGGAATCCCCGGGCGGTTACTACATTTGTACATTATACAAGATTGTCTTTAATTGCTCTGTTCATTGTCCCATGTCCTTTGTAACCACCACAAGGCTAGTTTACCCAACTCAGACCCATTTAGGGTAATCAAATACATCTAACTCATCTACAAAAGCAACCGTATCAGCAGCTCCAGCTTGTACACCCAGGGAGAAATAACCTCCAGAATCTTCATGGGGCCACAGAATCGCTCCGCAAGCTTACGCACTCTTGAACCTACAGAAATGTGTGTAGTATCCAGCAGCACTCAATCTCCAATATTGAAGGAAGCCTCTCGTCGGTGTCTGTCAGCGTATTGCTTCTGATATTCTTGCGCCTCGCGAATGGCCTGCTGGGCCCGGGTGGCATCAGCTTGCATTCGAGCTATCATCGTTGTAGCTGACTCGTTCTGATGTTCTTCGGTTGCAAAGTCTGCTATCGACTCGAGAGGTCCCCGTGGGTGCTGTCCCATCATCAAGAAAAACGGTGACACCTTGGTACTTGCATGTTGAGCTGAGTTGTAGTAATATTCGATGATCGGTAGATGTTTAGCCCAATCCCGCTGGTCGTACACCACGTAAGCTCGAAGGATCTGTTCCAAAGTTCGGATGGCTCGTTCACTCGCCCCATCCGTCCGTGGATGATGCGCTGTTGATGGGTGTAATTTCGTGGATAGGTGCTTCCACAGCGCCTTCCAAAAGTTCCCCATAAACCGGGGGTCTCTGTCACTGACAATCTGTTTTGGTAGTCCAAAATTCTTGAAGACTTGCTCCACAAATATCCGTGCCAATTGTGGTGCGGTCACCGTTATCGTTGTTGGTGCAAACCGGACCATTTTCGTGAAGCAATCTGTGAAGACTACGGCTGCATCATATCCTTCCGGTGTCTCCGGCAGACAGGTCACTAAGTCCATGGTGATGTGCGTCCATTTCCCGTCTGGTGTTGGGAGCGGGTGTAGTAATCCTCGTGTTTGCTGCGTCTCCACTTTGGTTCTCTGACATACGTCACACGTGCGAACATATTCGCATGCATCACTGGCCATCCCCGCCCAGGTGAAGTGTCAGTCGAGTCGCTCCATGGTTTTTGCTCTTCCCAAGTGTCCAGCCGCGGGTGCATCATGAGCTTCTCGAAGTAGCATGGTTCTCAGTTCCGTGTTATTTGGCACCACTATTTTCCATTGTCCATCTCTCTGCTTCCTCCAAAGGAGATGGTTGGCAAACTTATGAATCCCGTCTTCTTGCTCGCCTCAATTTGAGCCGTAGCCAGGTCTGGATCTTCACGTAATGCAGACGCGTACAAACGCAAGAAATCTTGGTGTCTCATGTCATACCATGCAGTTGGCGTGCTCCTGGTGCATACGTTGGCTTCTTGACCGACGTCTGTCTCATCAGAGTCGTCACTGACGTCTTCCGGACCTGGTCTTCGTGATAGGGCGTCAGCAGCTCCATTGCAGCTCCCCTTCCGATAGCATATTTCGAAGTCGTAGTCTTGCAGAAATTCGCTCCATCGTGCTTGACGCCGTGACAGATTCTTTTGTGTTTGTATGTGCCTTATCGTCTGATGGTCGGTGTGCAACTGAAATCGTCGTCCTTCCAAGAGATGCCGCCAGCCCCTTAAAGCATGAATAACGGCCA